AAAGTTAAATAGCAAGAGAAAAACTTAAGTGATTATCTTCCCTTCTGTCACCCCAGACAATAGGGGTGGAGGGGTCTCATGGTCAACTTGGGAGCTATTTACAAAACTGAAATGATAGATCTATTTTTCCCTTACTCTGGGAAGAGTTTTTTTGTTCCACTGTTTACTGTCCACGGCTCAGGGTTTAGAGAGCGGTGCAAGAGGCTTGGAAACAAGAACCACCTTGTCATGAGAACTGTTATGATTGGTCTCTAGTGTGAATTGGTCTCCAGGTTGTTGGATGGCATCACTCTACCATTCTCTTGAAAATAATTGACCCAAGTCTTGGCCAGTGTACACTGGAACGTAGTTACGTGACCTGTGTAAGACACTCCTATTTTGTGTTGTGGGATATTTCTGGATATAATTTTTAGAAAGTTCTGCAGATAGAGCTAGAAGTCCTTTTTAAAAATGATTCTTTAGGTTCTGCAGAAACCTACTTGAATGGATTGGGATTTAATCTGCTTCTAAACCTCTGCCAGCAGTCACGAAGATAAACTTTACTTGGCCTGTTTTGTGATATATGAAAATTTGATAGGTTATCGGCAATGGTCCATCGTGGAATATTACTTCAGATTATCTGTTTTACCTCTAGCCTTTCAGCAGACAAGTAATTGCACTTCAGATAGCGCTATTGCCTGTTAGACAGACAATTGTTCACTGCAATTTTGGGTAATGAAATAGCTAAATTGCCCTTCTTTGTTTAGAAGCAAGGATGTGTTAAAAGCTAGTCTGCTCCCAGAAATGAGGCTTGGTCACCAAATCTCTTGGTCAAATATTTTTACTTCAACACTTAGAAATATTTCAACAATTAGACAATGAAAAGTATTTATTGAAACTAGTCTTGGATGTAGCTATCTTCTCTTTTTTCCTCTGTGCACAGGAGTACACTAATGGCTTCGTATGTCTTTTGTTCCAGAAATTTGTTACTTTTTTGTCTGTTCCTTTTTTCCTCATTTACATCTCTTCTTTTTTTATGCCTAGCTATATTTCATGGTTCTCCTGCATCATTTTTCCCAAAGGATAGTATGTGTTCCAGAAATTTGCTACTTATTTTTCTATTCCCTTTTTCTTATTTGTTACCTTGAAAAAAAAGTCACTGTTCTTGAAATGCCTTTTTCTTTTATTATTATTAATAATCTGCTGCTCTCTGTTTTCATTTGGGGTTTATACTTTAGTGCCTATACTATTAGAGGTAGCTTGAGTGAGTTTGTGTTTATGCATGTGCATACACAATTTTAGGTGCTTATTTTGTACTGAGAAAATTGATAGGTTCAAGCCTGTGAGTTGATAATGTTGGATATTGCATAAGTTCCTCCTTTGCATGTGTAACTTTGGGGCTGAAAGAGAATCACAAGCAAGCTCATCTTAAGCATTAAATAATTTTTAAATATTGTACTAATGAAGTTAAAAGTTAGTTCACTGGAGATGCATATGTATAATTTAGCACTGTTCAGTTAGATATGTAGCATTTGAGTTTAGATGTGTGGAAAATGTGAATTTCTTTCATTATATAGTCACAGGCATGTCTATAAAGCTATGCCAAATGGTAATATTTACATAAATATTTATATAAATATGCTATACTTAGAGTTTGTGGAAGTTTTGTATGTAACTTAACTTACTGTTTTACAATAACACTGAGCTGAGCCAACAGTGAAGTGCTTCCAAAATGGAAGATTTCATTCCGTGTTCTCCAAGTTGGGATTTAATGGTACAAAGACTGAGGTGTTGCCTCTTGCATGTAAACCAATCGCATCTGAGGTGACTATACTATTTTGCAAGATCCAGCACGGTTTATATGTTTTTAAAGGTAGTTCTGTTCCATTAGCGAATAGGGGAACAGAAGGTAATAGGGCTCTGGTAAGTGAAAGTTTTTCTTTTTCTGTGTTTTAACTGAAGTAGATTCTGAGATAACTAGTCTCAGTAATCAGTGTAGGTCTGGCTGTGTCTAACGCTCTGCATTTTATGTCATCCATGAGTAGTGTGACTGCTTAAAAACATGATTGTTTCATTTTGTATTTCTTAGTAATGAGCATTTCATTTAGCTTTTCATTTAAATTTAATGGGCACCGACAGGTGAATTAGATTTAACCTAAATTACTGGTTTGTTTACCTTATCTTTTGAGCTATACAAATAGTACTGGAATAGCCTTGAAAAATGAAAGAAGGCAATTACAGAAAAAAGAAAGATAAAGAAGTGTAATTAATTTTTCTTCATATGGGAACATGCATGTGGTATTGAAGCTCAAAGTAATTGCAGGCATGTTCCCTTAAGCTCAGGATTTTGTGTGTGATTTTTCAGAGGATCAATCACTTGCACTAATTTCTGTAATAACTTTCTGGGGGACAGTTCTACTATTTTGTTTATTCTTTTTGCCTGGCTCACCAGAATGCAATACCTTTGCTCCTTGGTACAGTAAATGCACTCTGTAATATCTGTTATGGTATGGTCAAAGGATAATTTATTGTCACATAGAAAAATAGGTCAACACTAATGTCACTTGATAATCAACCCCCCAAGTTTAATAAAACGCCTCACCAGCATGCATTCTGCACAGTGCTTGATGTTTTATTAGCGCTACAGTACCTTACAGTACGTAGCTATAGCGGGAGTGTAATTACTGAGCTGTCAGGGTGATAAGTGGGATTAATGGCAGCCTGATGCACTTTAGTCTGCAGAGCGCTCAGAGAATCGGAAGATGGTGGTATTATCAGAGAAAGTCTGGACTGGCATATTCATGGCACTCTTCCCTCCTCCCCAGAAGCTCCCATACAAGTTTGCGTTGTCCTCGCTCATTAATAGTTGACATTTTCAACAGCTGTTATTTGTGAACCAGCTCAAAAATCAAAACAGAAATAATTTGGTAAAGATGCTTAATACCCACAACTGATAATCTGTATGCTGCTTATCCTGTTAGATGCCTTTCTAGTCAGTTTTGACATGACGTTGTTGTATATCTAATCTGTAGAAATGAATTCTATGTTAAAGGCGATTCTTTCCGTGTTGGCAACGGAACTATTACATTTTAAAAGAAACCGCGTTCAGGAAAGTGGAGAGGAAAAAGTCAAACTTGAATTGTTGTCTTTTTTTAAACGTGTGATTGTTTTCATTTCTATTATTTCCTCCCTGCTGTACAGCCCAGACTGTCATCTAAGTCCTGACAGTGTTGTATCTTGTCTAGTGTCTCCTTTTTTCTGGCCTCTCATACAAAAACTCTGCTGTCTTTCAGTCTGCTTAGAACGCGAAGGGCATCCTCTTGACTCCGTGCTCTGGCCACATCCACCCTTTGAGCTCCCTCGTGGCCTATGTTTGCTTGTTAAGATATCTATAGTTTGTCTCGATATACTGCTGCCCAGCACTATGCACTTAACTGCCACAGCTAAACCCGTTGGTGCTTATCTGCCATAGCTCTCCGATGTCTGACTAGTTGCACTACTAACCTCCTGTGGTATCGAACCTGGACTTGGCTCTGTCGGGTTTCTCAGTCCTTGGTGCCCGTGAGACCTGTTTTCCTTTAAATATTTCCTCTGGGACACTTTCTCCATGAGTAGCTCTGTGAGGAAATCCAAACAGCCGCTGCCATGTGTGCCTTCAAATTTGGCTGCAATATTGCTGGTGCCACAGCGTCTGCAATACGCAGCTAGGTGATAATGAATAGGAAGATGAAAGCTAATTAATCTCTTACTAAACTGCCTTTGTCTTCACTCTTGCTATACACTTAATTGAAAAAACCAAAAGCAGCTCATGTGACTGACAAAGTTAGAACAGTTTTTTTAGTGCAGCTATTTTCAGGTGTGTTTGTTCCTTCTGACGTACTCTTCCTTTCTTTGTGTGTTTTGTCTGTAGGCCCCTTGCAGCCAGAACGATCACTCTTGTGTTTGAAAGTATTCTGTTCCACAGTATTATTTACTAGTCCTAGGTAACAGTAATTAGGGTAGACTTGTTAGACTTGTATAAATAGTGGTGCTGAAATAATACATTAAAAAATGTTGTTTCATTTTTCCATATCTGTAAATTGTTAGAACTATAATTTGTGTAAGTTCTGTACATTGGTAAAACTATATTGAAAGAACAACTGGAATAATTTCATGAATTCTGCAATAACGAGCATTGCAGCATTTGTCCTGTGATAATCACTGATATGTAAAACCAAAAATGCATGCAAATCAGCTGTTTTTGACCTTGTTTGGTTGGTTTGTTGCAAATTACATAGACTAACCCTGAGGGCTTAGCCCTTAAATGGGACTTGTACAGGGAACTAAACCAGTACGCTCACATGGATGACTGTGCAGGAGCAGATAATAAATCTTTGTTCCTTAAAATCTGTGTGTTATTACTATACAATAAAAGATGTCATTAAGGATGAGAATAGGGTATTACAGATCTCAGTCGAGATTGTGCTGGATTGTTTTAAAAGGTCATAGCCACATTACAGGAAATGCATAGGAAAGAGACTCCAAAATTTACCAGCTGTTCTTATTCCTTTGCACATACAGTGCAAACTAATTTCTTATTCTGTTGGATTTTGTATGTCTGATGGTCCAACATCCAGAACTGACTGCTCAATGGCACTTCCAGAACTTAAAGAATTCAAATTCATAGCACTGGTGATTTTCAAATGTGAAAATGAAATGGTCAGAAGCTTAGCAATCTTGGAATACAGGGGAAAAAATTGCCTTTATGTAATTAGATCCTGTTTCTTGATAGTTGCATATGGGTAGTCCACAGTTCTGACTGTACTTTGTTTTCTTCCTTTATAAAGTGAAGTCAGCAGAACCAATTATGGTGTTGAACTTAATTCAATAATGGTAATGCAGATTTTAAATAGATGTTATATGAAAAAAGTCTGTATTGTTCATTAGTTTTGTCTTCTGTCATGTGCACTTGAGAAACTGTATACTATTGGCAGTGTTTGTACTCCATGTCTCCTTGACATGTTTTTCTTTTATTCCTGTAGATGCTTAAAGTGTGCAGATGCCCCATGTCAGAAGAGTTGCCCAACTAATCTGGACATCAAGGCATTTATCACAAGTATTGCAAACAAGGTAAAATCAGGATTGCAATAGTACGTGGAAACAGAGAACAGCATTTTTTTTTTTTTTACATTTCTCATTGTATGATTGCATTACAGAGTTTATATTGTAAAGTCTTATAAAATAGTGTTTGCAACAGGTGTTTTAAAATTTAAAAGCTTCTTCTGATTTTTTAATTATTGCTGTTCCTTGCTAGTACGTTATGCCACTCCATGCCAGCACAGAGGGAGTATATTGTAAATGTGTTTTTGTGTCCCTTTTTCATAAAGCTTTTGCTTTTGATGGTTTTGACAATCTAAGAGGTATTGAAAAATACTGAGCGTTACAATGTCATTATTTCACTTTGTTGCTACATGACTGAGGTAATATAGTTACAAAACCTTTTTTCCATTAAAGAATTAATATTTTTTTAGCAAGTGATTATAACTGAAATTTGCTTTGGGCTGGAATTTGGCCTGAATTTCCTCATCTCAGGGAATGTCTTTTCATTGTTGTGGTTTTAGAAGGCTCTGGTTCATGCAAATGTGGTCTGTCACTTAGACTAATAATGAAATATTACGGAAATAAATTGAACTCACTTTTTTGGAGGTACTGTACCTTTTCCACTCTTACCAGGTTGAATAATGACAATGAAATCTTAAAAACGTTTTTGATTTGTGGATTACAAATGACTTATAACAGTAAGCGATATGAATAAAGAAAGATGACTGCAGAATTGATATGACAAGATTAATTGGACTGTCTAGGATAGTCTAAACATGACTAGATATTGATTGCCCCTTACCTTTTAAAACGTATTTCCCATCTGTTGCATCATTAGCTGCAGTTTGATTTATTTATCTGTGTGAGCCCAACCAGACTCATGATCTGCTGGGGGTGATATGAAGATTTTCTGGCTGTGTTTTATGCTCTAGCATGCATCAAAGTTAGAATGCGTCTGAGAGGGCCCATGCAGGTAAAGCTGGAGGAAAGTGGGCAACAGCAGCACTACTGTGTGCGAGTTAAGAGCAGCTACGTTGCTTTTACTACACAGTATGTGTTGGGTGGAGAAGATGCCAGTAAATTCTGCACCTTAATGAGAAACATTAGGATAAAAGAGATATTAAGATATATGCATCAATTATAACATAACTATGTGTTGATGTGGTTTACAGTGGTTGGCATTATGCCCAGCATCTGTATATAGACTGTTTTCTTATATAAACTGTATCCTGTCAGTGCAGCACTTATTTTCATGAACGTAGGCATCTGTTTCCAGTCATACTATACTGCTTTGCAGCATATTGCTTCTTATTACCTCTTCCAGGCATTGTGAAGCAGAAGAACTGAACAGGGAAGGTACAAAGCAGTAATGAAACTGCTAGTCTCCATCTCTTAATTGTGTTGTAGTTTGTTTAGGGACACTAAAGCAAATTTTATGAAAGTATTTTACCAAAGTGGCCTATGTTTATTAAGGGTTACTTATGCTACTGCCTTGAATAGGCTGGGGTGACACCTGTTGTTAAGGAAAGGAAAAGGACCTGATTATAGAAACACAAAAACTGGGAGTAAAGAAGAAGGGAAGGTGGACTGATGACTGCAAAAGAAGATGTCAGAAGAAGAACTAACAGCAAAAGTGTCCTGGAATGAGACATTTGGTGGGTCTTTCAGACTCTGATAGCCTTAGAAATATGATGCTTTTGTGACTTGGCAGAAAGGATAGGTCGTTTTAACAGCTGATTCATTCTGAATTCTGGGAATCCATTACAGAAGAGAGAAAATTAAGGTGGGGTGACTGCAGAGCTTTGAGTGCTGTATTTTCGCAAAGATATGCTGGAGTAATATTAGGAATCTGCTTTAAGGCTATGAAGTGAAATCTTTGTCCCACTGAAGCCAATGGATATACTCTTAGAGATTTTAATAGGGCCAGATTTTAGCTGTCAGTCAGAGCGCTGGGTCACAGCCTATAGTGTTTGGACTGTTTGATGTTAACTCTTTTAAAAAGTATCTTGGAAGCTGCAGATGCTAGGGAAGACTCTGGTTTTGCCCTGAGCAAGTGACCTGATCATTTGCTATTTTATCAGGAAATCCTGCTTTAGTAAAGAATTGCTATATGCTACTGTTCTCTCAGGAGCTTTAACATTCCTTGGGGGAAAGCCTGAGTATCTCAGATTACTGACGTGTAGTTATAGCGTTGCTTTTAGCACCCTATCTATCCAGAGCTCCAGTATCCATTCTGAAACTGTTTCTATAAAAGGCAGACTAAAGTTTTGATAACTGCTTTTATTTTGTGGTGATGCTTGATAACTGCGCAAACTGAAGGACAGATTGAGACAGGCAACTTTAAAAAATCAAGTAGTCAATTTCTGCTAGCCAAAATGTTAAGAAAGGAAACTGTATGCCTAAAATCAGCATTTTGCATCCAGTTCCAAGTGTGAGTTGTCTTACGCTTTGCTCTCTCTCCTTGTGCTGTTGGAGGAAATCTAATGTTACATAGTCATGGGAACATTTCTTTGCAACATCTCTAATGCTGACATGTAGCAAAAAAATATCGGAAGTGAGGAAAAAACCACAACCAGAAATACTTAGCAAGCAGCTGAAATCATGGGCTGGGCAGCAAGGCTAGGATATCCTCCTTATCTATAGCTTCATTGTCAATGGCTGCATCTCCTTCAATTCATGTACTGACCAGTTTCTCAGAGAAATAATGCTCCTTAGAGGGAACCCAGCATTGACTTGATGGTTGCAGTTTGTTAGGCTGAATTTTCCTTTTGATTAATTCATTTTGGGTGCCTTTGCTAGAAAATGTTTCTGTTACAACATAGCAAGAATTTATGTAATGGTTTCTGAAGAACAGGATTCGCTATTTCCTTTATTAATAGGATGTTTTTGTAGGTATATGTGCGTACTGCTGGTTTTTATATTACGTTTGCACTTTGAAGCCCCTTGCTTTCTACCAAGTGAGAAATAGACAAAAGTTAGAAGTGGGGAAGATGCAGAAAGTGAAGTGATTCACTTGAAGTCATGACCTCTAGCAGAATCTGTGCGACAGCCTAACTTTCACAGCTTCTACTGCAGCGTCCTCTCCCCTGTTTCGTTCTCCTGCTGGGGTGTTTGAGATACTTGTATCATGTGCTTTTAGAGCACGTAGAAGATAAGAACAGTGTATTTTTGAAAACCACACAGAAATTTCAAAGTTACAATCTTGAAAGTTTTTAATGAAACCAGTAAGTAATTTTTCACATTTATTATTCAGTAGTTTAAAGAATTTTTCTAAACTTTTAATAAAATCATTCAGATATCGTTCAGCAATGTGCTTACTGAATATTTTTATGTCATTGTTTCGTAAAAGCATACTTCACGCTGTCAAGGTTTTGTTAAATGTCATTGAAAATACTTTTCAAAGAAAAAACCTTTTTGTTTTTTTCACCTTGTAAGAAAACTTCTATTTTTAATCCAACAGCTTGTAAATACATCTATTAGCTTCTAGACAAAATAAATAGGAGAAATGTAGAAGATTCAGGTAATTGAGGTCAATAAATCCAGGATATCTGGGGATGCTTTCTAGGCTTATTGAAGTCCCTCTCCCACTTCCAAATCTTTCTTCATCATGCACTTGAGAAACTCCCTGGAGCAGGTTACACTTATAGTTCTTTTGAGGAGATCCAGTTTGCTAATTTCCTTGTCCTCTTCTCTTCCTAAGTAGTAAGCAGTATGGCATTCAGGTATGTATTTAAACATGATTCATTATTAATATAGAGTATTTAGACTACAGTGTACTGAAAATGAATTACTCTGTCAGGTATTTAAGAGCTCTATTGTATGTAGTTTGTTTTGTTGGAAAACTACTATAGCAATCATAAAAGGTCAGGGATTCTTGTTCTCTAAAGCCTGAGGCTTTTTAGATATTTACAGGCCATGTACAATGTGGCTGTTCTTACTGCTCTGCCATTAGACCTCAACTCAGGAGTAGGAGAGGGACAGGGGAGGAGGCGATCTTTCTGGGTTGAGAGGGTAATTGAATTGCCAGACTCAATGAGGCTTGAGCCTCTTTGAGAAAAAGGATGTCACTTATGCTGTATTGTGTTAGGCCACTCTGATGCAGAAGAGTTTAGGCCACAACTTGCATTCTCTTTTTCCATACAAACTGGATTACAGCTCCACTTTATAAGGATACAATCTAATCTATTGTGTCTTCCCAGTCAGCATTTCTTGGTTCATACAAACTGCTTGCAACTGTATCTCAGAGGCAAGACTTCAGATTCACTATTCACATATTGCTACAATTATTTTTTTAAGCATCAGAAGGTGACAATGAAGTATTCTAACTTCCTGCTGTTTTCAAGAGGACATTTATGTTTAACTTCGCTGCTTTAAATGGAGCCTTCAAATTGCAAAACAAAGGATATATAGTTTAGGTGCCATCTTAGTTCTCTTCCTTTAGAAAGAAAGAAGGAAAAAAAGGAAATGTTTAGCTGTTGCAGGAGAAAACTTATTTTCTTAGTTCCTCTGAAATACAGTCAGGAGTGATCTTAGGATTTTGCGTCCTCCTTTCCCGGCATTGATATCTCAAAGCATGAAGGATGTATTAGAGCGGAGCTCCAACACCCGTCATCCTCTAGGGCTGGTTCAGTCAAATATTCTACAGCAGTGGGAAGTCCTGCAGCTTTCCAGAAGCAACTCTCAGCCAAAACACTTGCTGCCTGACCACCTTTAAGCAGAACTGTGAGGCCAGAGGGAGCTGTCCGTTGAAAACCAAGAGCTGCTTATGTAATATACCTTTTTGCTGCTTAGTGAGACAGTTCTGGAGCTTTTTGTTATCAGGCACCTTTACAGTTGAGTAATTGCTTTGGAAAACTTCTGTTAGTGCAGTTTAGGCATAGAAATCAGTGGGTATTAACTTGTGTTATGTGGCACAAGCATGAGAAGTGACTGACTCAGCCTTTATAGTCTGAGTCTATAATGAAGAATTGGGGATGTGGAAGTCTCTTTTGTGATATCTGTACTCAGTCACACCTCCTGTCGCTGCAACC